CTGATTTGAGGAGGCTTCAAAAATAAATTCTGTTCTCTAAATTTTAGGGAAAAAATTTTTTAAGTTTAAGAAGTGGTTAAAATAAATTATTCTAATTTTAGGAAAAAACCAGATAGAAGATGAAGAAATGAAATAGAGAGATTTACTTGTAAAAATTTGACATGGAAGAGCTCACTCATAATGACAATAGAAAATTTGGAAAAAATTTTTTTCTTGCAGGGGACTAGCAATAGATGATGATGATGATGATTGAAATTAGGTTAGTCTGGTACAAGGCTATTATTAATTGTGTTGCAACACACATATACACATTACCTTGATAAAGTTCCTCAAGGATCAAAACATTATAGCATGGTATAGAAAAGTTTTCCTTTTGTCTTTTCTTTTATTCACACACACACACACACACACACACACACACACACACACACACACACACACACAGGAAAATATAGTCAGTAAATTGCTGATATCCCTTGAAGAGTGGAAAGACAGGTCCACATATTAAATTCTGGAGTCAGGATGCTGAAGGTAACATCAATCAGCTAAGTGACAAAATTTACTTATATTAATTCTCTCTCTATATAGTATTGATCATTGGATTTTGTTTAATTTGATGCATTAATTTCCTCAAAGATCTTGAAGAAATCTTTTGTGAAGCACCTGTTTGTCTTTTGTTTTCAACAGTTTTAGTTTTTTTTTATACCTTACAATGAATGAACTAATGGTAGTAAATGGAATATTCAGGTTGTCTGAAATTTTTCTGAAGCTTTTACCATCTTTCCAGAGCTTAACAATCAGTTCTTTTTGCAAATTTGTCAATTCTTCATCTCTTGCCATGATGATAACTTTCTTGCATGAATATCAATTACAGAATATTCCATTTGTATTTTTAGACAGAAAATAACAACTGATAACATTATTGAAACATTCTAGAATATTCCACTTAAATAATCTAGAGTATTAAAGTAATTTAAGTTTTAAAACCTGAAATTTGCATTTTATTTTCACCCATTAAAATGGATAAATTGGATTTATTTCTATTAAATCAATTTTTTTTTCTGTTTTCTATGCATATTTAGTTATTAGGCATCTGTGTACACTTAATTATATGAAAAGTATGTTTATTCATTAGTTGGAAATACAATAAATTAAAAATTTGTATGTGTACGAATATCTGTTTCCCCACACTGTGTATATATATATATATATAAGAAAAAAAAATACATATATAAAATAATAAAATATGGACTGCCCCATTATTGCATGAAATTCTGAGTTGGGCTAACAGTGAGGATAATTATGAATAATTATTAGTATATAGTTTATAGCTATGTTATATTGCATCAAGCACTATTTTATTAACACAAGCATTCAATTTGCAATATTACTAAAGAACCCAACAATGTTAGTGTGACCAATAGACAACTTGTGAAAAGAGTTAATACCTTAGACAAGGAAAAAAATCCCAACCAAGGGAAGAAAAAAGAAAAGAAAAAAAAAGACCAAAAGGTAAACAACTACCTAAGCAATAAATTAAAGTGCTTTAATGTGTAGTCTATCCAGACAGAGCAAAAAATGGTTCACAATATCAACAATCACTAAAGGACAGTGCTACTCAAGTTTCATGGTATTGCGATCTTCAGGTGACTAGAATGCAAATGAAAGAAGGAGGGACCTACCATTTATACTCAATGACATAACACACTCTAGGGTGTTGCATATATATATATATATATGTATGTATGTATGTATGTATGTGTGCGTGTGTGTGTGTATGCAAGAGCCTAGGGTGCATTACATCATTGAGTATATATATATATATATATATATATACACACACACCCACACCCACGCATAATGATCCGCATCATATTATGTGGTCATTGGCTATTGGTCAAGAGTGTAGAGATGAGTGGGTGCTGCCAAAGCTATCTGAAAGCCCACTGGAAGGATCATGAGGAGGAAGAAGCAAAGCAAAGCAACACCCTGCCAGATCAACAGATCAGACTCGAGGAGGTTATGTTTCTTCTGCCCTCACAAATAATTGAAGCAGTTGTGGTACTGATGATGATGATGATAATGAGGTTGATATATAATATCAAAAGCTCTGCATTTTCTTGTTTAATTTTTCCTGAATATTAAAAGTTAAATAAAATAAAGATAATTGGTCCTCTGCCTATAAATGTGTAATAAATTTCTAATAAATTAATTCTTAAGATATACAGACACAACTTTGATCTCAAGAATGCCACACTTAAAAAGAAAATAACTTGCTTAGATGGAAAGTTCTTGAGAATGCAACTATTGAATCTTCCCAAAATGTTAACTTATGCTGTGTTTTTTTTTTTAAATATTTCCTTTCTTAAAAGAAATACTCCTTTCCCAAGCTAACATGTATAATGATAATTTTTTTAAACTAAAAGATAACAGCTAACTCAAGACCTTCTATTATTTAAAATAAATGCAGATTTAACAATATTTACTCACTTTTGTTTATTAGCCATTAAATTACATTTCTTAGCAATCTTCATAATTTACCTTTACTTTCATAGTTGTAAGAATATTTTAGATCATTCTTAAATTTAAAAATTTTGAAAATTTAACAATATTTTTTACTTATGTTTATCCTTTTTATCATTTTCCTTAGAACTTCCCTATTAATCACATGTTCAGTCCATGGTATTCTTAGTATCCTTTTGTAGAACCATATTTCTCCTACTTCAAGTTTCCTCTTCATCTATGAGGAAATTACCCAACATTTACTGCCATATAAGATGACTGATGATATGTAATATTTCAGCACATTTATATTTTTAATGGAAATTTTCTTGTTTCTTAATACTTTGCTTACATTTTAGAAGGCATCTTTTATTATTCCATTGTTCCTTCAGATTTTGGTGTCACACTTTCTGTCCTCTGATAAAATGTGTCTTTAAATTGGAAGAATGATTATTTCTGGCTGCAACAACTATTATACAACTCCATCTTTCCTCCCACCTTTTATTTAGCTTTGCAAAATGATGTAATGGAATAACCTGTCACCCCCATGAGTAACTACACTATAGGTAGTAACTACCTATAAGATCTGTAAGGCAATGGACTATGGAGTCTAGCTGGGATATTTTCCAGCTGTGGTGGTCAAGCTCTCTGCCTCCAAGCAGAGAGGATCCCCAGACAAGGCTATGTCGAAGGGCAAATTCTTGTCTCAAGAAACAGCTACCCAACCCTGTTTTATATGGTTCTACGGGAATTTTTTGGCTGAGCCTATGGTCTCAGATACCCCACGTTAAATTCGGCCCTGTGCCACATCTGATTGCGTGGGGAGGTTAGTAAATATACTAGCTAGGATCTGTTGAGTACAACTCAGACTTACGTAAAAACTATCAACCTTCCAATAGTACCACTCACTAGTGGATTGACTTGTGATGATTATGTGTATAACTGTTACTTTATTTCTTATTGTACTAGTTTTCTACAATAAACCATTACTTATTTTATCCACTGTGTTTTTCAAGTATATATTCCTATTAGCACGGAACATAACACAAAATGAGATATTTTTATCATGACTGTATTGTAATGAGAAGGAAGCCAAATAAGGAATACATTAAAATGAAGCCATCAATCCTCCTACATTGCATAATGTCAAGAACTGTTCTTTGAGTGCACAATAAGTGAGGAAGTTATTAGAAGCTGACCAAATAGTCAAAGACTGACCAAAGGAAGACATGACAAGATGTGGCATTATGTGTGGGTGGTCATTTTAATTTCCTTGTTGAAATGGAAAGTCAAGAGGAGGAGGGTAATGTGGATGTATGTCATGGGCATGAAACAGTGACACAAATTTATTTATTTCTTTTGTCCTACATCCATTTTACAGATATTTGACTTGATCATGTAATATGTGGATTGACACCCGAGCTGAGAGAGCAGAGTAAAATGGTTCAAGCTAGTGTATAAGTTTTTATTACTTGTTGGATTTTACAAAAAATGGCTGTGCTTTGAAAAATTTAATAAAAAACATAATTGCCATTTTATTTTTGCTTGTCATCTGCTGTAACTGATCTGCTGAAATTTCACAGCATTTGACAGTGGCATTTTGTTGAATTTCATCATGTTTAAAACATGTTCTGCTTTTGTATGTAACAAAAATATTTTGTCTGTGCTTAATGTGACCCTACTAACTTTCTATGACTAAGCATACATTTTATGTATGTGATTAATGTGTTCATTTTATATGAAAAGCATATATGTTATAATTGTGTTTAATGTGTTCATTTTTTGTAAAAAAAAACATATTTTTTGTTTACATTTAATATGCCCATTTTATATGAAAATTCATGTATTTTATTTTTGTATTTAATGTGTTCATTTTATATGAAAATTCATATATTTTATGTATGTGCTTAATATGTTCATTTTATATGAAAAAGCATATATTTTATATTTGTGTTTAATGTGTTAATTTTATATGAAAAAACATGTTATCAATGCATTTAATGTGTTTTATTTTATATGAAAAAGTATGTATTTTATAATTGTTTTTAATGTGTTTTCCCTTCAAATACATTTTAAACTAAAGCATATATTTTTTGTTTGTGTTTAAATTGACCCTCTCCTCCTTTTTATATGGAAGCATATATTGTATGTTTGTGCTTAATATGATCATTCCAAATTTGATGCAAAAGCATATATTTTAGGTTCTTTGATGTGCTCTTGCAATATTTATATAAAAGTAAATTTTTATATTTTTGTTTAATGTATCCCGACCACATTTTATGCAAAAGCATATCTATTATGTTTGGATTTAATGTGACCCTATTTTTGTAGGCAAAATATATAGCAAGATTTTATTTGCATATACCTAGGTGGATCAATAAATCTGTTGTCTGACAACTATTTATTCACAGAATTTTTGTTTGACAATTTCATTATGTAATGTTTAATCTATTAGATAAATATTTACAACTGGATTGAATGTAATTGACACACAAAGACTAAAGAAAGAAAGAAAGAAAGAAAGAAACAAGCAAACAAACTGAAAATGAAAAGTTGGCTGAAAGAAAGAAAGAAAGAAAGAAAGAAAGAAAGAAGCAAACAAACTGAAAATGAAAAGTTGGCTGGAAGAAAGAAAGAAAGAAAAAATAAAAAAGAAAGAGAGAAAGAAGCAAAAGAAAGAAAAAGAAAAATGAAAGATAGAAAGAAATAAAAAGAAAAAAGGAAGAAGAATGAAAAAAGAAACTGAGAAAGAAAAGACTAAAAAAGAAAAGAAAAAAAAGAAAAAGAAAGAAAAAAAAAAGAAACTAGAAAAAAAAAAAAAAAGAATGAAAAAGAATCAAAAAAGACTAAAAAGATAAGAAAGAAAGAAAAAAAAGAAAGAAAGAAAGAATTGAAAAAGGGAAGAAAGAAAAACTGGATGGGAGTAAATCTACAGCTGACTAAAATGGGAGAGGAAAAGGCAGACTGAATAAGAGAGAATAAGAGAAGAAAGTGGTTAGAGTGAGAGAGAGAGAGAGAGAGAGAAAGAGAGCAGTAAAAGAATATAAAAAGAAAAAGAGTGATCAAAGTGAAAAAAAGGAGAATAATAGAGGAAGTAAAAGAGGCAGAAGGGGAGAGAAGATCAAAGTAGAGAATCTAATGAAACATGATAAAATGTTGGAGGGAAAATGAGAGAGAAAGAGCGGGGAGAGAGAGAGAGAGAGAGAGAGAATAAAAAAGAAAATAGAAACAGGATTTCTGAGAAAAAAAGAGAGGATATATTTTCCCATACGTTATTTCATTCTCCTTGAAACTGAAACTGATTGATAGAAGGTTATTTTTCAATGCACCCCCCCACCCCCGCCACCTCGCCAATCGACATTTACAAAGCAGACATTTTTCAAATATGGCAGAACATATCTGTAAACATCACATCAGTGTTTTTGTTTAATTGTTATTTATGTTTTCATTTCATTCTGAAAATATATTTTGTGGAAAATATAAATTGTGACTTTTTGTTTGCTAGTAAAGCCCTGGATATTTTGTTGATACTGAACTGATGGCATAGAAGAATTTGATGACTGTTAATTAAAACATTATTTGTACAAAATATGTCTTTTTGAGGAAAGTGAGAAATTTCAGACAATCAAAACCAAGAAAACCCCATCCTGGGTAAGATTATAAACTACATCCGACAGCAAAACCTCTGATTGGGAGGTTTTGAGGAGAGTGGAACAACTTCTTAATTACTGGTGTTCCCAGGTCCACCCTGGTCTGGGGTGATAGCACCTGTTAGAGTCCCAGCTATGGGTAAATAGTTAAACCCCCAAACAGGGGTCAAAGCACTATGAACGTGTAAAAATAGGTTTTAGTACCAGCAATAAATTTTTTGTGGAAACATTATTACCAGCAATACATTTTTGAAGAAAAAAATATTACCAGCAATACATTTTTAGAAAAAATATTACCAGCCATGAAAATCTTGTCGGTATTAAATAACCCATTGATGATGATATGCCGTAAAACAAACCAAACCAAATCAAGAAAACCCAACCCAAAAGATAAAAAAGAAACCTTATGAAGATTAAAAAAAATGAATTGATTTTTCAATTTGAAATAGAATTGATTAATTGATTGATTTGTTTTTTATGGTTTATCAACCCCTTGTGGGTCATTTAAAATCAAAACATATCTCAGATTGTAGGAGGTTGCTTACCATAGCTGGTCTTCTTAAGCAGTTCCCTAAATATCAAGTTCAACATTTAACTTTGGTAATTGAATGAGTAACATAGAAATAACACAAATAGTTACAAGTTAATCGTCAATGAGTGATCAATATATTTAAGCAGTTTTTATTCTGTGGTGATGATCTGTTTCATGCTTGAATGTAATCATCTGGCCATGAAAATTGTGGTCAAGCATGAAACAGACTATTGACCTCTGTGTCCACTTTTATATACATATGTAATATGGTGTGGATCAGTATATGTGTATATATACAGTGTGTTCTGCTTGATTATGCAAAGTTATTTTTTACCTAAAAATATCCAAGTTAAGCAATATATTCTGAAGAATAAAAGCTAAAGTGTTGTTGATACTATTTTATTATTTTGTCAATCATTTAAGTTGTCGAAATATACAAAACGTGCTTCTTTTTAATGATTTATGAACTTAAGCCCTAATTTAGTGTTCACTTTCATTATGCAAATGGAAAATAAAACAAGAAAAACACATTTTATACTAAATTTTAGTAATTGAATTGTGGCGCATATGACAATACATTGTGTGTTCTAAGTCCTACATTACATAATACATATGTATAGCATGTTAAACAAAACAAAACAAGTCTGTTAATGCGGCTATGAAAAAACATGACATTCTCCATTCTTCAAAACCGTTATGAGGCGTCTGTCCACTGCTGATGCCAATGTTTCAATTTCAGAAGGTTTGATTGATCGGCAAGCACTTACAATTGCTTTCCACAGGACTTCTAAGCTGGTGAATTGCTTGTTTTCAGCATTAATCCGCCTCTTGACTATAGACCATAAATTTTCTATTGGATTTAAATCAGAGCTGTTTGGAGGCCATACCATTAAATTTTGCCCTTTGAACCCATGGTCTGATAGCCAATTGGTGGTGCTTCTTGATCTATGTGCTGGAGCATTATCCTGCTGAAATATCAACGATCTTCTTTTCTGAATTGTTTGTTCATCAAGCCAGGGCAGGAAGGCATCTTCCAAAAGCCTACAATATGCATTTGAATTTAGCTTAAGCCCTTTGGGTACTTTGTGTGGGCCTATTAGTTCATTTCCGCGGATCCCAGCCCAAAACATCACTCCTCCGCCACCCTGTTGTCGATGAATGCGTACTCCTGCTGGTCGACCATTTAACACCCATCCAGATGACCACTCATCAGGCCCATCAAGAGTAGCATGGCACTCATCAGTGAAAATCACATTGCTAAAATTGGTCTTCATGTAACTGTGTGCCTATTCAACTCTTTTCATCTTGTTTGCTTTGCCCAATGGGGGCCTCTTGATGGGACTCTTCACTTTGGCATGGGTAGTTTTACCAACTTTGGGCACTCCATTGCTTTCAAATATTTTTTTACTAGTTTCATGCAGTTTCTTTGAGACTTCATATTTAATTTTACGAAGATCTCTGGCAGTTAACTTTTGCAAATGCAATCATTTAGGGGTCTTTCTGCATGATTTACTGCCTAAGACGAATGCTTTGATTGTACGGTGGTCTCTATGTAACTTTTTTGAAATTTCTAATGTTAACAGACCACTTCCAAGCATGCAAGTAATTTCAGCATGATCGTTTTCAGTAAGACCTTTTTTCTTACCCATATTAAGGATGTATATGGTGATTGCTTAATCAGACCGAACACTTGAAACTGTGCCTTTTTACATACTTTGAGAAAAAGAACTATGTTACTATACAACTTTTTTTTCATTGACCATATTTACTTGTCTGAAAGTATAATTTAATCTGTAAGAAGCATGAAGTCTGAAAAAAACAGAATTTATTGACATGTTAGATGAAAAAATTAATTTGCATAATCAAGCAGAATGCACTGTATAGATATAATTTAGCTCTTGAAAATATTTTCAATTAAGCACTGTTGAATGACAAGCTAATTCTAAAAAGAACAGCCACCTGCATTAATGCGAAGCTCTTCAGTAAAATGAATGGAGCACTTTGGTTGTTTGGAATTTGTTTACATTTGTAAAAACAATACACTAGATTTGGCTGACTAATTCTGTCAAGTGAAGATAGCTCAGTGGTAGAGACTCTGAGTGACACCAAATTGGTTGGGTTTCAATCTGGGCTTGAGGCATTCGGTTGTCTAGTTGCACTGAAGAGCTGTGATGCAGTGAAACAGTACTGTCTGTGAATGATATATATACTCATTTTTTTATTTAGAATTAAGATACCTAATGACAATTTTCACCTATGAATTTTAAAATTTGCAGGATTTTTCAAACTGTTTATGTCATCAGTTGTGGGATACTGGCTAGCTGGGGAGAAGAAGAAAAGGAGGGTGTTAAAAGGGACATGGTGGGAGATATAGCAGAAGAAGGCACTGATACAGGAAATATATTATGGAGGTAGGAGAACCTGGGTAGGGGGTATGAGCTGACCTACATCCTAATGGTCACACGGCCAAAGTTTGATTTAACGGGAATACACAGAAATCAACGAAAATGTGAAAAAAACAATCAAGAGGTAACTTTAGTGAGATGAAAGAGAGAGCATACTTTGTGAGTCAGTTTTAACATAATTTAAATTCTATATTGTGTTAAAAGGACTCATCTGGATTATACCAATGGATTACTATATATATATATATATATATATATATATATATATATATATATACACAGATACAGTAAAGGTAACAAATTCATTGGTATATAATCCAAATGGATTCTAGTAATATAAAATATTAAAACTGATCCACAAAAAGAACTCAATGTATTAGTACAGAGCAAATGATTTTTCAAACATTTTGGGAATAGCAGGAGAAAGTTTGGAAGATTATAGGTTCCACACTTACCCCCAATAATCTTAGAGATAGGTGTGACTTATGTTTAGAAGAAAAAATTAGAATAATAATATACAATAATCAAAGCCAACTATTGAATCAGAGTAATGAATTAATGTTAAAATGTCAACATAAAAACAAATTCAAATTTCCATAATATAGGTTTAACTTAATTAACTACCATATTTCCATAATATTTACTCCCCTTTAACTCTTCAAATGTTGAAAGTATAACTAATTCTAATTTCTATATATTTATATTCCCCTCTATAACTTCTTTACACTATATTAATTATAATTTATAAACTTTCCCCTACTTTAATATCCCCCCAACTCTCTTTCCATTAATCCTTTTCCTCCTTTTATCTATATATTTTAAATTTCTTTTTAAACCCTTTTCTCTTTTAATTTTAAATTAATATTTCATTCTTCACATAACATCAAATTGATATCATTAGGTTAATATTTGGGTTTAATTTTATAAAACTTCTTCCCTTTAAGACAAATACCTTCCACCCTCCCCTGACCCCTGCCTTGTGCCTTTCATTTGACTGAAATATTGAAATGGATAAATTCTATATTAGTTTTTCGGCAGGTTGTTTTTTTTAGTTTTTTTTTTAGCTTTCACAGTTAAATTTTTATGTCTGACATGATCTCAGTCCATATTGGGTTGATAAGACAGACAACCTATATTTTCGTCTGCTGAAATAGGCTCTTCTCCGTATGAGGTTATTTTGGATTTTATTGTTTATTAATTATATATATATATATATA